GGTGGATTTTAGTCAGGAAATTAGGCAGGAAGTGTCTCTTCAACAAAAGAAAGATGCTAGACAAACAGACTTAAAATTTGACTCTCGAAATAATACTTCGAATCACTAGTCATTCCCTACCAATGAATTGAGAAGGTTCCAAATTTGTTCCAAGTCTTCACCTGGTTTTATATGATCCAGTAAAGCCCCGTGGTAACGCAATATGAGAATGTTTTCTCATAGTCTCTTGAACCCCGAAAAAAAAAAATTTTTGATTACCTGTTTTAAATGGTCCTAATTAGTACCAATGCACAATCCGAATTTGCAACTGTCATATAAGTGAATTGAATAACAATTTAGTAGTTAGTTTGTAAAAAAATTTTACCCACATTTAAATGGAACCTATTCAAATATATTTTTTTGAAAGAAAAAGTTGAATATTATATAGTTTTCAAATATATATTTTTGAAAAGGACTGGAATAACACCAAACTCTATACCCCACATAGGAAGAGAAAAATTTCTCCTATTGTTTGTTCAAAAATCGGTTTTATATTAGGCGGTTTTAAATTCATTCAATTGTTCATTATTGGGGACTTAAAAAGTCAAGCTTCTCGTCTTAGGTAGCAACTTTCAATAGTAGTTTCTTTATCCTAAAATCATATTATCTCTGTCCCAAAAATTAATCAAGAATGAATGTTGAGATTTGTACTACTTCTATACAAATTTTAAAATTAACGTGAACTAAATTTTTTTGAGACAGAGTTGGTATTATTGTTGGATAGTGAGAGTAGTGTATATTCAATTTTGAAATTTGTACGAGAAATAGTACTGCCTCTGTCCTAAAAGAAATGGTTGAATTTTAGAAATGTAAATCTTAAAATTGTATTTATGAGATTGGTATAACCGAAAATTGATAACTAGATATGTGGCTTTATTCAATCTTTCATATTAATTTATTAATTTGCAAGATTAAATCATCTAATTTTTATATTTTAGTTTTCAAATTAGACTATTTCTCTAAAATGTAGGTAGGACATTTCTCAAAACGTAATGTGAACTCTTTTCTTGGGACAGAGATAATAGCATATAGTATTCCTAATTTGCGAGATTAAGAACAGGGCTTTGATGGCTCAAATAAAATTTTAGAACGTTTGAACTCTGATAAGGGAATATAAGAGTGATGAAGATGTTTACGTAGAGGATTTAATGCCCATAAAAGACATCTATACAGTTTGATTGCAATTTAATTTGAAATGATATAGCTTTAAATTATCGCATGGTGCATGTAAGTGAATAAAGTACATGATTTTCCTCCTAAGCTAACCGTGAAAATTACTTGGCCACCAAGTAGATTAAACAAAATGGTGGGAATCAGCTGAGGACCCATAACCGTACTATAACAAACAAAGATTTTACTAGCAAAATTGACTGGTCGTCTCCACCTAAAATACGCGAAACATATCCCTATCAAATATTTATCAATAGAAAAAAAATGATAGGAAGAAGGAATATACACGACATCGATAAATTCCATATTGTTGTTCTCAGATCCCAAGTTTGACCAATGTACTATAAACTAACACCGTGTATATTAAGGGATTCTACTTCACTGGATGTGATAATATTAGGTCACATCATACGTTCAGATTCTGGCGGGCTGGTTTGAATTCCTTTCCTCTGAAATGATTAGTTTAGTGTAAATGTTCATGCCTAATACAAATTGTATTAAAAATAAAAGTTTTGATAGGAAAATTTTTTCCGTCCCAAAAAAATAATTGTTCGGTTGGAGTGTTCTCTTTTAAAATATTTTGTATTAAAAATAAAAATTCAAATCAGACTATTAATTCAAGACAGGAAGTATTTTTGTTTTTTTTTTTTTGGAAAGAGATGGTAATTGGAAGATTGATTAAATTAAAAAAATAAAATAAAAAGAAAAACGGGTGGTGCACCAAGCACAGACAATATGATCTTGTTTTGAGTCCGTATCCAGTACACCTGGGTATACCGTACACCCCCACCTGGGTATACCGTACACCCCCACCAAACATACGCGCTACATGCGCTCAACAATTTTCACCTTTACATTAAATGCACAAACAAAATTGTTTTCATCCATTTTACTGTTTTCATCCTCACGCACAAATACATATAATTGCTGGTTATCCATAATTTATCCACAAGTTGTAAACTGGTTATCCAGAAGGGGTAAACTTGTTATCCAGAAGGCGTAAACTGGTTATCCACAAGGCGTAAACTGGTTATCCAAAAGGTGTAAATTGGTTATTCACAAGGTGTAAACTGGTTATCCAGAAGGTGTAAACTGGTTATCCACAAGTTGTAAATTGGTTATCCAGAGGTAAAGAAGCAAACGACATGTTAATTGGGGGGCGAACTAAACGACTCCCGCGGCTACCGGAATCGCAGGTCACCAACCTGCCCCGGCTGCGCCGCCTCGCTGAACACGCCAATGTAGCTAAGGTAATCCTTTTTTCGTGTGTGTGTAAGGAGAGTGTGTTATTGCATTAAGAGGGGACGCAAATTACTTGTATAAATCCCCCCGTGATAAACTAAACGACCCAGCTGCGCCGGTGCCCGCGGCTGCGCCACCCCCCCTACCGAACACGACAAATTTCATAAATAGTATTTAATTGAATGAGTGGCATTTTGCCAAATGATGGAGAACAAAAAATGAATGAGGGGCAGTTTGCCAAATGATGGAAATAAGGTACGTTCAATTGTGTATAACTAATTATCCATATTGTCAATACTGGTTATACAACTGTGTATAACTAATTATCCATAGTGCCAACACTGGTTATCCACATGGTGAATACTGGTTGTCCATAGTGTGTAGCTGGTTATCCATAGTGTGCACACTGGTTATCCAGCTATATTTAACTAGTTATCCATAGTCTGCACAGTGGTTATTCACAGTGTCAATACTGGCACAGTAAGATTGTTCGATGGATTTCTTACCACTACATTCCGCATTCATCTAGCTGGAATCCTCAACGAGATAACTCATCACGCTATTCTAACAAAAGAAAAGAAAAAGAAAAATGAATTATCTAGCGAATTCACGCTATTCTAAGAGAGTAAAGTATACGCGCAGGGGGTACACAGTGCCCCGAGTGTACCAGATAATTTGCCTGATATCCTAAATAAATTAATGACAAAAGGAAAGAAATTACAGACTGAAGGCTGAAGCAGGAAAAAAATATTCTATAGAAAGATTGTTTCTTTGATTACCAGGAGCCCTTCTAGAACGAATTAAAAACTATAAAAATTTTATTTTTTACGTCTAATAAAAGCAGTTTAAATTTATCTAATTTACTGATAAAAGCAGTTTAAATTTATCTAATTTACTGGGATAGAGAATGTATTGGCTTATACGTTTTATTTCGAATAAAAACCAAACAGTAACAAAAAGGATAATAATTTGCATAGCGAAATATTAGCAGGGAATAAATCAAAACAATTTATTTGAACTTTTTCCATTTTGATTTAAACATTTGAGGTTATAGCATAATTTTGATGATTCTCATATCATTTCATGTAACTTTTCCCTATAAATTTTCCTTGCATATATATCATACTCTAACAAAAATTCCCTACAAAAGGATTTATTGGATGGAGAAAATATTAATTCATGCGACCTCTCATGTGTATGAAGTAGTTTTAAATGTTTTGGCCAAAATGTGTTAAGTACTGAAACATTGGTTATTGTTTTTCTTTTTCTTTTTTCTTTTTTTTGAGGAAGAAAACATCGGTTATTGTTAAACATGTACACCCTGCAGTACGGCAAACAGAAAGAATGTGCGGTCCAAAAGATATTGCTAGTGGTGAAATCTCATTGGAAGCTTAACAAGTCTCCTTTTACTCTGACCCTTGATAAGCATTAATCATCTGCGAAACAATAATTTGCTGAGAAATTTTGAGTAAAATGAACAGATTAGAAATGGTTTGTTATAAGCTTTCGAAGTATCCTCTGCTGTTTTTGGGATTTGTGTGCCTTCGCCAAGTTTCGCAGGAATATCCACTCTCGAGTTTAATTACTTCCTCTAAATATGGGAGATTTGTGAAAATTGGAAGGAGACGAGTAGAAACAGTCGTCATTACTCTCTTTTTTTTTTTATGTACAATAATTTTTAATGCAATTTACGTTAATTTCGACCAGATAAATCTTTTTTTTAAGAGCAAAAAAAAAAACATTTTATCCCGTATTTGTTTAAATTTGCCGCTCCATTGTGGGAGATGACGGCTTTGTATCAAACAAAGGCTTTTTATTTATTTATTTATGTTTGAGAAAAAGTATAATATGTTAAATTCCGATGATGAATTTTGAATCGTTATGTCATTAGGAGTAGTTTGTCTAATATTTGTAATCCTTCCATCCCAGAAAAATAATTCACAATGAATTTTAAAATTTAATTAATACAAATCTCAAAATTCTAGACTATTTTATTGGACGGAGGAAATACTTTCGTGCAGTAATCTTTGAAATTTGAATCGAATGACAGGTTAACTTATTTGTTATTCCCTCTGTCCTAAAATTATTATCCAATTTAAGATTTTACTTTTAATACAATATGAACTAGAAATGAAAAGTCAAACAGGACAATAATTATAGGACGGAGGGAGTATTAAACATTCTTGATATAAATTTTCAATCAAGAATTTTATTTTTAATTTTTAAAATATTACAATTAGGTAGATTTCTTTCGAGAAACAAAGTGATGTTGCTACGAAACAGACATGTACTGCAAAACAGACATGTTCACTTACTTTTTGAAGATGCTTCCAAGATAGCCTTGTCTTTGTGGTTCAGGATTTGATTATGATCACATTCAATTTCTACTTATGGTTCCACTTTGAATGAAATATTGTGCATTCAAATCGAAAAAGGTTCTACTTCACTTTTTTTCGCAATTGAATATTATGCATCAAGTGACCATATATGAAAAGGAACGTGAATTCAGTCAGAGTTACAAACATAACCTCACAATATGTAGACTATGTGGCTCTTACAAAAACACATGCAAAATTTATAAGAAAAATCAAATCCAGTTTCTTTATTCCACATAACACTTGATACTTGATAGGGGTTTCCAATTCATGTTCTCATGATAAAACCTTGCATCCTAATTAATTAGGATAATTAATTTTGGCAAAATCTAGTGCATTCTTCCCTTCGTGACCATACACGAAGAAGTAGTTCATGTAGTCTTTGAATACGACTTCTCTATATATTGTTCCTCCGTCGCGCTCCACCAGCTGAGGCAGCGGCCCGATCTTCTCCGACAGCCGTGGAGTCACAAAAATCGGAACTGACACTCTTGATTGCTGGCTTGTTGTACCCACTTTGTGTTCTGAGCTTTTATACTTACCATTGCTTAGGATCTGTGGCGAAATTTCGAAAAACGCAAAAATATCATGAATGGGCAAATATAGAAATTCAACTATTAAAATGAGACGAAAAGATTATATAATGCATGGAACACGAACCTGTAGCGAATCGCCAATATTAACGACCAAAGCACTGGGAATTGGAGGGATCTCAATCCACTCTTCTTTCTTACCTTCTTCTTGTGTATCATCATCATCGGACACTTTCACATACAAACCACCAATATCATCTTGTGCAAGAACGGTTAATATTCCGATATCGGAATGGCGTTTGACGCCGATAGTTACTTCTGGATTTGGGCAAGCTGGGTAGTAATTCATGTTTACTACTTTAGTGCCAATGAGAGATTCAAACTTCGATTCTTCCATTGTGACTCCAAGGTTTTCTATTAGGATTTTGAACAACTGCAGTACCATTTTATGGGATGACTTGATATATTCAACCAACTCTCTCCTGCATTTAACGTTGTAGAAACAGAAAGCTATTGTCAAAGATTCATTGTCATACAATCCTTGAAAAAATAAAATTATAACGTATTTCTTTTGGCTAACAAATTAAGGATTTTGTTTCTGGTATCCGAATTTAGAAAATAAAATAAAAATAAAAAGTGATAAACTAAATACATACTCCATCTGTTTTAAAATAATTGTTCAGTTAATTTCAATTCAAATTATGCCAAAAATGAAAATCTAAACTGAAAAATTTTTTTTGGACAAAGAGAATAGTAATAAGAAAAAAAAACCCCAACAAGACGGACTTACTTGCACACATCTGGCCAGTATTTTTCAGCATCAGCATCATTAGTATAGGTCATGTTAATATAATCTCTCCATTGAAGGAATTTCTCTTTCTCAGGAGCAAAACTTGTTGCATATTTTACCAATGGAGTTGGACTAACTCCCTTGAGAAAACCAGCTTTTACCTCGGCTGGTTGCTCGAAAAACCGATGCGCTGCCTCCGGTAAGCTGTCCAACAGATCCAAATCAATGCCGTGGTTTGTAACCTGAAAAAACCCAAGTGTTTCAGCAGCGCGAACTATCGCCTCGACCACTTTGTCGTTGTCAGGGCCATCAAGTTTTGACAAATCAATTGGAACCGATGCATGGTGATTAAAGTTTGTATTCGGATGACTGATTTTCTTTGTAACTCGTTCATATGGTGGTTGGATGTATAATGGAGGGACTTCAACAATGCCTGAATCAACTAAACCTTTGATACCATAGCCTTTTTTGGCCACGAAATCGAACAGAGAATTAGCATCAGTAATGCCAACTTCTGCCATTGATCCTGGTATTTCTATTGTTTGCTTATTTGGTTCAAGGAGTGAGTTCTTTCACTCTGAGGTTACCGTTTTATAATAGTTCTATATGATTAGGCGTGTACAGACGTGAAACATGAGAGCACTAATTAAACACTAATTTTTTACTCTTACTGTACGTCTTATATTGATTGTTACTTTATTATCAAAAAAAATATCGTTCCTACCCAAATTTTTACCCTCATCGTCAATCATACCTTACAGATTTTCGGTTAGCCAATTTTACCGACGAGAGAAATAAAGTTTCCAAAGATATCATATAACAGACAAAGAATGAATGCAAAATAGCGGTTTATTTCGTCCGATCCTTAATATAAGACATTTTGATTTATTATAAATTTCACCTAATACGTATCTTTAATTGACAAGAAAGTTTTTAAAAATTTTTTTTATAATTAAGAGAATATAACGACTATGAAAATATATTTTAAAGTTTTTTTTATCGAATAAGAATATATACTATATGAAACCTAAGACAAATCAAAATGTCTTATATTAAGGACCGGAAGGAGTATATTATATGGTTTGAAATTTCCGCAACATTTATATTTTTGTGCCTTTATTTTGGTAAAGTGTACGTGCTACCGGGATTTCTATAGAAAAGTTCAGTTTCAGTAGCACTCTTAACATCAAAATTGGAGACCACTGGGTCCCAAGAAGAGGGCAGACGAATTTCTTAGAGCTGGCAAGAGAGGAATTTGGAAGTTTGAGTTTGCAAACAAATCTTCTGAGATGCTTGCTTGTATTCGTTATTAATACGGTTAAGAGACGTTTTTCTAGTGTGAAAAAAATAGAGAATAGAGCCCAAATTGAAATTGTTTGGAGTATTTGAAACACCGGTTGGGATTAATTATATTCCTTCTGTCCCAAAATTATTATCCAATTTGAGATTTCACTTTTAGTATAATTTGAATTAGAAACGAAAATCCAAACTGGACAATAATTATGGGACGGATGAAGTATTAAGTAAGAGTAGCTTTTATTTTATTTTTTTTGCTGAAATGATGAAATAGCTTAGTACTCTTAACTATTTTGATACCATAAGAGATTTCTTCTTTCTCCACTACAAAGCGATTGTGATTATGTAACGTCTCTTATATAGTATTTTTTTTTTTATTCTAAAATTATAGTCCTTAACATGTTCTGAACGCGAAACTATAAGTTGAAAAGACTTTTTAAAAAAATATATTATCTACTTTGAGTTGTCAGTAGATATTAGTCGATTTTGGTTGTTCTTGCGTTAGTTTGACAGACCGATGGCCGGGTCATTTATGTTGTTAGAAATTGGAGTTCGAAGAAATGCGTGACTTGGATTATTGTTAGCCCATGAGCAGAAATGAGGAATTAAATTCGCATTTCGTTTCTGCCCTACAACCCCTTGCTGCAAGCACATCAATTTGCATCATTCCTAGGAGTTTTTTTTTAACAATAAAACAGGCAAATATCCATATTAATTGAATTAAAACGTTACGTAAGTGAAAAACTTCGATAATATCGTGTTCCACGTACCAACACATACCAATTGATGGAGTAACAAACTAGAGAAAACCTATCAAACCTTCTACTGCAAGCAAAGGAAAATAATTAACCACAAATGAAATCTCAAAATAAGGAGAATACCTTCTACTGCAGTCAAATAAAACAATAATTCAATTGCTTCATTAGTCAATAATAGGTTCTGTTGCTACATTAATCAATTACAGCCTATCAACAACAACGACTAGAAGCCAAATACAGTTAAACATTTATAAATTAATAATGTTAGGACCCCAAAAAATTATTAATTTATTGATAAATTAATAATTTATCAATAAATTAATAATATTAATTTTAAAAAAATTCTAAAGAATCTTATTAATCTTTTAAACTTAGCTGTATAAGATTTATATTCTTTTATTCTTATATCTCCTATACATTAGAATTTAGACTCCACCATCATGTTAAATTTTATCACCTACCCAATCTACATAACATGCCTCTATTAAAAGAGATTTGATATTTTTCTGATAATCTTTTTAATTCTCAACAATAGCTCAATACATCATGAAAAAATTCATAATATCTACAATATCTTTATATATAAATTTCAAGAAAAAACAAACATCGCTAAATTCATATTTTACTAGCTCATTTCTTTTCAAGTCATTATTAATTTATGTTATTGATGGGACCTATATTTACATAGAAATTTTTGTAAAAATTATTATCTTATTATTTTATCGATTGTCTTTGTTTTTTTGTACTGGTTCTGACTTGGGACCGGAGAAAATTATTAATTTATCGATATTATTAATTTATTGATTGTTAATTTATCGATTTTCTACTGTACAAATAATTGCGATTCTTTCTTTTACACCGGCGACTTCTTTGACTTAGTTTGAGAGAAAGTTTATTTTCTAAAAAACAGTTGAAACAATGTGTCTAGGAGAATAAATTGATGAGAGAAGACAACTGTGAACAATAAAACTATGATAATATTAATTGATACCAAAACTCAACAATCGATAATATTATACTTCCTTTATACAGTAAAATAATAACCCACATTATAACTTGAGAAATGTTTTAATAAAAAAATCTAATTCGAAAAACGTTAGTTATTATTTTAGCTCAATTATTTTCTACAATATTCACGTATTGTCGTATCACCGATTCATACTTTGAATAATGTCGACGCTATCCAGCTATTCTAACTGTTCGTAATTAAATTAGAATTTAGCCGTAAAAATTCGTCTATCTCTATTAACTCAGGCTTTACTTTTATTTTCTGTTTTCACCAAATGACTTACTTATTCCCATAATGATAATCCCTTTACGGCAACAAAAAGGTAACAGTTTTCTCTGAATGTCAACTTCTGCCATAAGTTGAAACGCTTGAACGTGCCCCATACCTCTTTTTTGATAACTAAATATATATTTTCTTTCTCTTAAAATAACTGTTTCATTTGATTTTTTTTATTTTTAATACAAAACTGAAAACATATTAAAACTAAAAATTCAAAAATGACAAATTTTCAAGTCAGAAAGGGTATATTTTGTGAAACCATACACATCCTCAAGGACCTAATTTAACCATTCCAAATGACCGATCAAAGGCACCGTCGAAATCCTCTTTAACCTAATCAACCGGCGGCATCTTGGATCAACCGGTTATTTATCAAAACCCGGCCGTAAAAACCTCCAATTCTTGGTCAAACTGCTCGGCTGCCTGATCCGATTCGATTTTAGCTTTATTCCCGGAAATAATTTTGTACGTAATATATGTTCAGTTCCCACAATGAGACCGACAACATAAACCAAATGTCCTTTTCGAAGTGAAACCTAATGCGTATACCAAATGAGTTTTTATTATATATTTAGTTTTGAATTCTTCCAAACCTATGAAATCGTGCCATATAGTGCGCTAGCAGATTTCTCTTATGACAGCTGATAATGAAAGTTTTGAAAGTGTTGAGTTGTTTTCAGTGACCAACGTTGAATAAAATTCAATTTGATAACTACTTCACGTACAAATAAAATAAAAAAAATAAAATAAAATAAACTATTCCATGCATTGTGAGTTTAGTCAAGAACTTCTGTTTTTTCAATATTTGATAATAGCCTATCCATCATTAAAAAAAAAAAAAAAAAAAAAGTCTGTAAGCAAATCTTAAATAATTGCAATTATTATTTCAATAATAGCGACGTCTTGGGTTTATGTTGAATTGACTGAATGTGTTTCAATTATTATCAAGAAAAAGTTGACGGAAGGTTCTATGAGACGTTAAAATGCTAAATAGAAGTGAATATTAAATAAAACATAATTACGATAGTAATAAAGTACGATAAAAGTTCTTAATTTTCCGATTTGATGGGCCAATGAATGGGAGCTCCGTTTGCGTGGACCGAATAAATTTTCCAGTCAGTCCAAATGATGAAGTTTGAGTTCATGAACCTAAATCATAATAGGCTATTAATTTCTTGTTCTTTTACTCTTTTGCCGGTTTATTGAAGTTATTTGTAGAAATAATACGAACCCACACTCGATTGAGCTGCAAAAAGCTTCTTTCTTTCGCCAGTTTATTGAAGTTATTGGGGCTGGTTTCACTTGCTACAAGATTGATAAGGTCCTCGGCATTAGATCTCTTATTGAAGTTTTACTACTAGAGTGAAACTAGGTAGTCCCCCTGGATGTGAAATAATGTTGTATGAAATTAGAAATGTGGAGTATCACCTTCAAAATGTTAACATTTTGTTAGGAATAAGTATAATTGTATCATATATGATCCATATGTGCTCCTGTGTTGTTAATTGAATCTAAATAAATTGACCATAAATAGAATGAAGATTGCCTCGACTTCAATTGTTTGCGAGTGGGAACAAAGGATAGTACTGATGGAACAAAACCCACGATGACAATTGTAAGAATTCCCATCATCAAATGCACATTTTGCAGATCAAATAGGTCAATCAAGCAGGTAACTGAATAAAGCCGTCAGACAGATAGAAAAATGTTCGAACAACTGAGAGTTCGAACAAGAAAAGTGCACACCTAGAGTCGTGTGGTAGCTTAGCTTAGATCTCTTACTCAAACCGGTATACAAAAATTGTTTTCCTGAAATCAAATTGGCTAAACCCCCACTGTGGTACACAAAGCTTGTTTCCTCGAATTCCAATCAACTTAATTTCTTACGTTATGCAGACTTTGATAAATACAACAAAAAAAAAAAAAAAAAACTAAAACCACTAGCAAACCAATGCTTAGACTCAAAAGTAGCCACCTCAGCCACTTCACGTTCTTCAAAATTGCAAGTTGATGAAAATCATCGGACCCCAAATACTTACAGATGAAAAGGAGATGCTTTTTCAGTTTCTGTATGAACCTAGAGTGGGTATGAATATCCCCGGAGGTACTTCGAATCCACCCCAGATTCCCGCACGAGGGCAATGCGACCAGTTCTTGCCACCTGGGATCAAAAAATATTCAGCCAGGTAGCAATTGGGCGAGGAAAACTAAAAGAAAAAGAAAAACAAGATCTTTATCCCACTATGTCAGGTCGCTTGTGCTTGGGGTTCTATCGCTTATTCTGGCTTGACAAAATGAGAGTGAATATATGAAGTGAATATATGAAGTGAATTCATGAAAGAGTAATAATATCTCCAGTGACTTCTCATAATGTCTAAAGTGATAATTAGGCATCGGTCGATGTCTTTAATATTAGCATAATGACAACAAGAAAGACAAACAGCAACACCACTCACAAGTCACAACTCATTGTGCATTTGGCACTGGAGCTCACATACCCGTGAGGAAAATCGTTCAATAGGTTATGCTAATGCCAAAGATGGAAAAAAGAATTTGGAAGGGAAAGTAGTTCAGATAGAAGGAGAGATGACGGGGAAACAAACCTCACAAATGCCGTAAGGTTCCAATAGTCTCTGTAGAGCAACCATCTTGTCCAAATCTCCAGTAAGCTGGTGTGATACAAGATATTTAAAATAATGCATTTAAAGAAAGAAAGCGAAAAACAAAATCCAGGATAACCCAAAAAACGCACTCACTGACAAACACAAAATCCAGCCATTTGTAGATGATATGAAAAGCAGTAAATAGAATAACCAACAATCAATCAGGAGGCTGGCATTGAAGAAATTAGCAATCAAAGTTTTTATCAAAAGAACCTGACTCAGTCCCGTAACTGATTGATTATTAAGATATATATCATATTATTCGTTTTAAAATCAGCAACTACAGTGGCGATCTAGTGAAGTTGATTAAATATTTCAAGGTTGTTACAGAGAGAAATCAAATATCAAGCTATGGACAAATTACGAAAGATTCAGAAAGGGTAAAATTAATCTGAACTAAGAGAACCTCAGGAAACCACAGAGTTTTCCACCTCCGCATGATATTTTATGAGAAGGTCTATATCAACTAAAAATACATCTTTGAAATGAATTCTAGGAATATGCCAAGCCTTCACGCAATCAGCAACCCAACAAGTAAAAAAAAAATGTGCTGCAGTTCATGTATTCTCAGAGTAGTTGAAGCAAAAGCTATTAAGTAATACCAATTACACAGAACGGAAATCAGCTAAACTCTTTATTCACTGACACTTATTTTGAAGGCAAAATATATAAGAAGCCATAAGTGTCCCTCCACATCATGGCCTGAAACTAGGACTAGCAGTCCAGCTATTTAACTTAAGGGGCAGTACTATACGCTTTCTAAAGTGGAAATTCATGAGTTATAGTACTAAAACCAGTCAAAGCAAATGACTGAACGAGAACACTGACATGCCTACAATAAATCAAGTAAGAGATAACGGCAATAATTTATCTAACCTCCAACGTTATCGTGTGATCAGAGACATCCACAGCTTTGGCCCTAAAAATGCTGGCAATATCCAGAACATTGCGACGAGCAGCAGAATTAACAGCAATCTTTATCAGCATTAGTTCCCTCTCAGCAAAAGGCAAGTGGGTAAGGTCCCGAACCTAAAAGAATTTAAAATGCTTCAAAGAGTCAATGGTGAAATGATTACTCTAACAATTTTGAAGTAGGGGAGAATAATCATGGCCGTTTGACAAAGCATAAGAACAAGTCATACATGAGGCGAAAAAGTAAATCGCAAGGGGCATCCGTAGAAGTAAACTTGTGAATTCACCAATCAGAAGACTAAAGAAACAAAGTTGAAAGCAAGGAGGAAGATTAAGTTTTCAGGGTAATTTACTTTACTAGGCCTTAACTCATGTAAGACCGATTTGTAATGAATGCAAGTATGTTTACAGATAATTTGCTGGATTTGACCTTCTTAGGGTTGAAAAGAGAAGCTTTAGACAAAAATTACACTGTACAAAAAAAACCAAAAAAAAAAAAGAGACAAAGACAAGACACCAGTTCACGAGCATCCTGAGGTTAATTTGACATTCTTACTGTTACAAAGTGCAAATATACACTTTTGACCTCAAAAAATTAAGCATCTGCTCACCTCATGAAGATCAATCAACTTTTGAAGTTGCTGTATCAGTTTTCTAATAGATTCATCTGTGCCCGGAACTACAGTAGTAATACGAGAAAGCCCTTCCACTTCAGCGTGTCCAACAGCTAAACTCTGGCATTTAATCACGACATAATATCAACTCTAGGAATATGATTAAAAAGCAAAGAAAATGCACAATCCAATATGCCAATGAAACCAACATACTTGAATGTTATAGCCTCGCCGGGCAAAGACACCAGTTATTATGTTGAGAACTCCGGGAGCATCACTCACAAGCATTGACAGAGTGTGCGAGCGAAGGCCACTAGTCTGAAAGCAGATACAAAGAATTCGGTTAGCGTTGGCCAAAGAGTTGCAAGCACTGATTCATCTATAAACAGGATATTCAAACCAATTCCCTGACGGAGTCAAAGTTTGGAAGTCCAAAAGTACATCTTCGCAAATTCGCATACCACAAAACCTCAAAAGTAGTAAATATGGACAAGCTTTAAGCACACTGATACCTAATTTCAGTAACTTATATTAATATTTGGAAGTCCAAAAGTACATCTTTGCAAGTTTGCATACCACAAAACCTTAAAAGTAGTAATATGGACAAAAGCTTCAAGCACACCGAGACCTTATTTTGATCACTTATATTAATATTGTTCATAACATATAAGAACAATTTAAGCAAGACAAGCTATTTTTGAATAACTAAATCAATCTCAAACATACATAATAATCAGAGAACAATATTAGTGATCCCTTACATCATCGTCATTCAGAACACCCCAGTGAGCATCAAGAACTGGGCTGACAGAAAAATCATCAGCAGCTTCGATAGGATATACATCACCCTACAAGTAAGCACAAGGATTATCAGATGTGTACAAAAAGAAGTATAAGAGACAAGAATGCAATACATCGGGGAATGCATATTGAAATATTGTATGCGTATGGCAATCCATAGACGTGACAAGTTAACAAGTAACCAGATACTAGGCAAGTTTCACAAGGCACAAAATGGTTCTGGTCAATGTATCATGTAAACTAAAGCACGAGAGGCTATTGAAATTCAAAATGTGTCAGTCTTAAACCTAATGGAATTGTGTTTATAAAGGAAAACACTCCAACGTGAATGTATCATGCACAAGCAGATACAAAAAAGGTTACAAATACCCGCAATGGAAACGCAACAAAGGGAAAATTTAAAATAAACTCCTTTATCTGGAAAACAAAAGAATCGACTACAACAACAAAATGACCTTTAAGATATTCTTGCATGCTCCAAGATATTCAAGACATGAAATAACCTTTAATAAATGCAAGAGAAGTTGCATTTGAACTATGAAATAAAGCCAATAAGCAGAGAAACAAACTACACAATTAGCTCAAGATACAATATAATCGGTTAACAATCAGTACGTTACTTGTAGGGTTTTGGGAACTTGAAACCCTTAAGTACTTCTGGCAGTAATCCCAGATGCACTCTATCTCTACTTACATCATTAATCACCAAATCATGCTTCACATCTACAGTGACCAACGTTTCTAATGTCAAATCGTATGATTCATGCCTCTGAACTGATGAATGTTACTTTAGGTTTTTCAATCAGCTTCCTGAGAAATCTGAATCTTATAAGTTGACAGTCGTAGTATGACACTATTTATTTTTATAAACATACCCCACTAGACGAAACAGATTCTCCATTGCGTGTTCTCTTGGTGGTGCTCAAAACAGTACTAACAGGCATAGTTTCTTCAAGATCTGGATATGAAGCAGCCGAAAATCTCCAAAATGGGGCAGATTCACCCATCTTTTCCCTTCGCAAGGCAATCTAACAGAAACCATCAGATAAACCCATGTAAATAAAGATGCAATATAAATAATTTAAAATGGATGGGCAGCATGAGAACAAATTTAAAATAGTTTCTGCTTAAAAACCTTCCCAGTGCGTGCAATTTCTCTAATCCCAAACTTGCTTAAGTTCCTCTGCACAGCAACCATCTTTCCTGGATCTCCAGTTACCTGTATCAAAAATGTATTTGAAAATCTTAAGCTAGATAATATAAACATCTTATTTCATTTGAGCCCCTTGAGTTTGAGGAACCTTGAACTTATAAAAAAATTTCATCATGATTAACAGAAAGAAATGCATTCTAAACAGTCATGGTGGCGTACTACGCAACACCTTTTGTTTGACTAATATCATATTTATCATTATCCAGTCCTCATCCAACTTTCAGAAAGGGATACAGGCGAGCAAGAACTTATAATGCATAAGATTAACAGAAAACTTATAATGCAGAAACAAGTTAACTAACACTCTCCTTTTGGTTGAATAATATTGTATTTGTCAGTTTCCATCCCCAGCCAATTTTCAGAAAGGGATACAGGAAAGCAAGGACAAATGTGTGGGAAAATCATGTGACAAAAACCAAGTCAACCAACGGCACAGGAAGCTTGTCCTGTTCCCAAAGGAAATACCAAAGGGGAGAGATAAAATTCAAAGCAACAGAGAATATGCCCTTTCTCAACCCAAAAATGACTGGAAATCTGCCATATATTACTCTGAGATAGCTTGCAGAACATTATTTACAAAACAAAGTAAAAAACAATTAAAACAAATATTGCAGAAAAGGCCAAGAACAAAAGGAATATGTACAAAGATTGCAATGCTACAGGAATATTCGCACTAGTTAAGCACAGAAAGTCCAAACCAAAAGTAAAAGGAAATTGAAGGTTTAATTTAGCTATCAAATGAGTATGAAATTCAGAACTGACTCTACTTGCCAAAGTTTGGAGTAAAGGTAGATAGAAACAAAATGTTGTTACTCAACCTCAATTGTAAGAGACTGGTCTGAGATATCCACAACTTTTGCCCTGAAAGTGTCCACCAGCCACATGACCTGAAGATTTCAACCAAAACAAATATGATAACTGTCCTAAAAACATAACTAGATCCTTCAGAAAGAAATATATAATTAAAGAGTTGATCCCTCAGAATTTTAATAATACAAAATTCAGTTCAAAATGCATACTGGATAACAACCTCCTCTCGACAATTTGGATCTGCATTGATTTTGACAAGCATCAGTTCCCGTTCAACCTGTGGTTCCTTTGAAATATCTTCAACCTGGTCATGGAAATTTTGTTAACGAAAAATCGAAAATGGTAGGAAAACTTCATAGGCAGAAAGAAATATACCCAAAAAGGAGAAGCCACACCCAAAGAATAATACTACGGAAAATGTCAGAATCTCAACAATCAGGTGAAGGAAATAAATTCAAGAATCAAAGTAAAATGTCAGGACTGACATAAAGCGTAAAGAGGAAGCAACCTTAATCACGTTAACCAGCTTCTGGAGTTGCTCCATGACTTGCTGCAATGTCCTCTCAGTTCCACAGACAACTATAGTGAACAGAGCTTTATCCTTGTTCAGACCAACTGCAAGAGACTCGATGTTGTATCCTCTCCTAGCAAACACTCCTGCAATCCGATTTATCATCCCACTTTCATCACCGACAAACACTGATATAGTGTGACGCCTGACTCTGAATTTTCACAAGAATAAGAATCCCATCAATAATATCCTCCTCAAGAAGTAAAACACTAATAGTAAAACACTAATAATGTGGGACCAAAATCCCTGAACACGAAATTGATGCAAGGAGAACCAGTTCACTGTTTCATTCAAATTGCTACAGAAACTTTCTATCTAATCAACAAAAGGGGAAGCATCGTCCAATTAAAATATTCGATCACATAAGGACAAACCAGAAATCTTATCCCATGTCATTCATAGTTCCATTCAGTTCCAAAATTCAACACAACGGGCTAGCCTTATGGAAAAAATGTCAAATACAATTACTGGATTGGCAACATATACATTAATCAATTTCATTAATCAATCATCGTTAGCAATTCGAAATTAAACAATGCTGAATAAACAGATCATCTGTTTTTACCAAAACACAAAGCTTATAATCAAGAAGAGAAAATTAATTGAACATAGAGAAAAATAACCAACAACATTAAATAAATACCCATTGACGAAAAATCCCCATGAACATCACCCTTTCACCAAAATTTCAATGTGTGTCATTATGGGAACATCTAAAACATCATAAACAAACACCCGATTGCCCGAAATTCCCAAAGAAAATCATTCCTTTTGATATGTCCAAATTTAGCCAACAGAATCAACGTCCTCTGGCTATCAGCAGTTGAAAGAAGTAACCAAAAAAAAAATAAAAATGCAATCGAAAAACTACTAACTTGGGCCTGGGACTCGGGGGAGGCGAATCAGAGACAGAAACAGCACCAACATCATTCAAAGGACTGGACTCCGCACGGCAAACAACTACTCTACCGGGCTGCGTTTTAGAAGTCCATTGCTTCTCGACCTGAAGCCTTCGCAGGGAATAATTAGAGAAGCCCAGATGAAGAAATTTAGTACCACCATAATTGGCATCTGCAGGGTCCCTTGAGAATTTCGTATCGGACAAATTATAGGGCGAGGAAGAATGAGATGAAACAGCCGCCATTGTTAGAGTTTCAGTTGACCCAAGCAGAAGAGCTGGAGTGGTTCTCGAGTTCGTCAGAATTTTAAAAAAGAGAAGTTTTGAAAATGGAAAAAAATAATAATAAATAAAAATAAAATTAAATAAATAAATTGAAAACTCAATTCTTGAATTCGGAAAAGGAAAAAAATAGTAAGATAAATAAAATTAGGGAGGCCCGTGGATGGCGAGGTTATTTTCAACGTTTAGAAAGAAAACTATAGAACAGTATTCATTATAAAGACAAAACTGTCTTATGAAACTTTCATAAATTTGTAGTTTTACTTATTGTTAGTCATAATAAAACTGTCCCCGTTAAGTTTATTTATTATTTTTCATTGATATTTATTTTGGTATAACGAGTGAACCGAAACCTAAAAATATTTCATAATGTTTTGATATTTATTTTTTTTGACACAGTAAGAAAAAGTAAACCTGAAATCAAGAAATCTATATCTCTATCTCTATATATATTAAAGGAGAGTTTTCAATCGGACACATGGCGTAAAATTAGATAGGCTAATCCACATAGCGAAATATTAAATAGCCAAATCCACATGTCGCAACCACATCACTCCATCATTTAATGGTAATTTTTTATGTAAAATTGTACATTTATTGATAAGACTAAAATAACTAAAATAAACAAATGGAAAAAGCCAAAAGTAAAATTAACCACAACCCTAATTGATTATTAACAACCAGCCGGTTTTGTGGAATTTAACCAATATATATACCCAACACGAAAAATCTCAAGGTACGACACTGGAACAATACATAATTCAATTCCCTACATGTTTTTTTTCTTTTCTTTTGGCTACCTATTTGATTTTTTTATTTTTTATTTTTGGTTGGACCAATATATAATTGCAACCTTTATTAATGCTTCAGTTTGATTTGTCTATATATATATATATACCCAACACAAAAAATCATCAAGTACGACACTGCAACAATACATAATTGTATTCTCTACCTTTTTTTCTGCCTGTTTGATTTTATTTTATATTTTTGTTAGTTTGAATTCTCTAATACGTAAGTTTTGGTAATATCTTTTTTACCCATTAACGGGTAATACGAATGAATGATTACTATCAATTACGTTTTGTAAAAATTACAGAACAAAAGAAAGTAAAATAATAATTTTACTATACAATATAATTATATATTAATTAGCTAAATTTTTAATAATTATTATATAAAATATAATAAACCATAAAATAATACAATAAATGATTACCAATAAATTAATATACTAATATAAGATAGCCATTATATTTTTTTGGTATGATATAAAGGTAGAAAAAGTTAATGTTATCATAATAAAACAAAACATGGAGATCAATTGGGAGAGAGTTTTCTAATTGAGAAAAATATACAAGTGTTTGTGAGAGATAAACTGTAAAAGAAAAGTATATTGAAAGATGAGAAATACATATATGAAGAAAAAAAATTATGTAGAAGATAAGAAAATATGGAAAAATAAATTGAAATAATAGTGAAAATAATAGGAGCGATAATATGAAATAATATGATAGTTGTGGTGTAAACATGACGTAGAATTGGAAGATCATCCATATGAAAAAAATTAGATAGTCAAATCCACATGTTGTAATTACACCACTTCATCATTTAATGATGATTTTTATTAGTAAATTCGTAAAACTTATAAATAACCAATTTTTAGATTACATTATATTAACATATTACAAAAACTCAAAAATTCAATTATGGGCCCGAAGCTTGATTTTATTTCTCAACTTCTTTTACTGGGCAGTCACAATAGTATTTTTTTGAGGAAAAAAAAAACATAAAAGATTGGAGCAATTATCCTACACTCACCCGAAGAGGAGGAAAGAAACACAAAAATTAATGCCCGATTATCTCATTCATAATCACCATTGAAAATAGTCTATTCTAGACATAATGCATGGCGAAATTGTAATTGTTATATTTAATCAATAACCAGTGTAAATGGGATGAACAAAAACTAAAAACATTAAATTATGCGAATTAATCCATGACATTTCTTGATAAACAAAAAAAGATATACATTATATAAATTAATTTATCCCCCATAACATTAACACATTCAAGTTTGAAATGCGATTTTCATTGATGAATCTTTTAATGTTAATGAAGATTGGCAATCTGCAGCAAGATATAAAAAATCAATTAGATGATTCATTACATTTTTTTCACATGATATAATGGTGTTTAAAGTCAACGTTATGATGATATAACAAAACCTAGAGATTAAGAGAGAGAAAGTTTTCCAAATGATAAACAAAATAAAGGTCTTTATCAGAGATAAAGATTATATAAAAAAATATATTGAGAAATTGAAAATAATTATGTGTGTGTGTGGAGGGGGAGAAATTATATAAAGAATAAGAAATACAAACAATGAGATAAGAATGAAAATGAAATAATTATTATAACTTTTTTTAAGAAATGAAGGTCTAAAGAGAGGTGATTAAATTTAGGAAAAAATGGTGAAGACTACGCAACCAAGAAAAAAAATAAAGTAAATACTATATTATAGATCAAACTTCTAAAGTAAGGTTGTGAAATATATATAGAAAGAGAGATGGAAAATAAAGATAAGTATATGAAATGATATAATAAGAAAATTTTCTATCAGAGGAAAAGTTTAAAAGATATGACATTTGTAAAAATATTTAGAGAAATCACTATGAAAAACTAAGAGAATATTTTTAAAAGATACAAAATCATAAATCAACCAAATGAAAAAATGACAATAAGTTAAATTGAAGGATTTCGAATATTGAAAATTACTCCAGATGTACTTAAATAAAACATATTGACATTAAAAATTATATTGTAATAATTTTTATCATTAATATTATTCTTCTACATATATCACTATGTCGGAAAATGTAATCTAATCCCCAAATCGTTAAACTCATATTTATATACTAACGGAAGGTTTTCAATCGCCACATGTCATATAATAACATAGTCAAAAAACTTCTTCGCCTCTTGTCACTGTTAGAGGCTTCTTTTGCCACTTGTCAGTCAAAGAGACACTCTTTCATTAAAGCGTTAAACTTTTATGTAAATTGGTTGCTTTAATTTATTTATCACTCATCTATTTTACCCATCTTTATTACATTCCATATATATATATATGCATTAACTACCTAAATAATTAAAAAAAATCTATCTTTCCATTGCTAATTTTTTATTATTATTTTTTGGTTTTTAATTAATCTCTTCCATATAAATGTTCATTTACTTGATATGGGTGATGATTTGATTAATTAGTATGTATATATATATATATGGTAATAATTCTCATCAAATTACTATTTAATTTTGAACAAGTTGTGTTTACCACCACTCACTATTTATGACTGTTAATTTTGGAAATAATGTCTTTCCATATCCAAAAAAGTAACATGCAGATAATTATAAAGATACCTACTAAATTAATTCAAAAACAAATACCGTCATATTTGTACGTGTAGAAAATTTTGAATTTCCAAATACACAAATTACGGGATTAGATGATATGTAAAGAATCCGATAATATACAAATGATTGATTCTTATTCATTATATCCCAAAATAAAAGGGCTGAATTTTACAAATTCATTAACATATATAATAACCATATAAATATACTTAGTGCGTAAAATCTTTATCAAATGTGAAACCATTTATAATATTTTTTCATTTACAACTTACTTTCTAAGTTAATGTTCGATAAAGATTCCAAAATTTGTTGGTCAAAATGAATAAAAAATCTCTCTAAATATATAGATCAGACTCCGCACCAATTGTCACTATAATTATTTGAATATTTTCCATCAATTAAGAAAATAAATAGTTACAACTTACCCTAAAATAAAGACTTACATATTAATTCCGAAAATATGGAACAAAATAAATCCAACCCAAAAGCAAGTGGAATCTGATCCGTAAGAAACATAATAATGTAATAAATCATATCATATTCCATCAATTAATTAGCAAATATTTTCAAATATCTTGTCACTAACTATTAATTTTAAAAAGATAACAATGGTGCTAATTTGAAGAATTCCAGAATTCATCCCGTAAAATGGACAAAAAATCATATATATCGTACGAAATTCGATCTAACGGAATCCGACATTCAATTATACTTAAAAATGTTATTAATAACCCCCTCCAAAAAAAGGTAAAATGCCCTATTTAAGGGATTTTATTTGGTTTTCAAAAAAGTAAAGAAAAAAAAGATTCTGTTGTAAAACTAGAGTCTATATATAATGATCCAATGCAAAGGTAACTAATAATTTATTTAGTGATGATATTTTATTTACTTCTCTGTTAGAGACTATATTATTATAATATAATAACAAACCTTATGAGATTTAAAAAGAAGAAAAATAAGTAAGCATAAGGAGTAGGAGGAAAGAAGGAGAGGAAGGGAAAAATTATCTTTTTTCGTGTGTCTTTCTCTTATCTGAAACTCATGTATTTATAGGAGAAAATGTGGAGACAACATGACTCCATTTTCCTGAGCCTATATCATAGGCATTTGACCTTTTGGTCATTTTCCTTTTTACAACACTCCCCCTTAAATGACCAAATAAATTACACCTATAACACTGCCTCGTTAAAAACCTTGCTAAATAAAAACCCAGTGGGAAAAAAAATTTAGCGAAGGGAAAAAGAGTGCAGTACGTAATTATTTCCCCGTGATTATAACATCGGTAATTCTTCACATGCTGTGTAAATGACGCATTCCGATGTTATGAACATGTTTTCTGAAAAGTACTGTAGGAAGTGACTTTGTAAAAAGATCAGCTGAATTCTCACTAGAAGTAACATATTGAATATCAATATCATTATTCTTCATGAGCTCTTTGGTATATGCAAAGAATTTTGGAGGTATATGCTTGGTCCGATCATTCTTGATATATCCTTCCTCTAGTTGATGAATACAAGCTGCATTATCTTCATATAGAATGGTTGGAT